CAAGCAAAGCACCCCAGACGTCCCTCTACCCAGCGATGCTTTCCAGCTCCTCCTGGGGGACCCCAAGGTGTTCCCAGGCCAGATGGGATATGTAATCCCTCCAGCATGTTCTAGGTCTGCCCCGGGGCCTCCTACCAGTGGGACGTAGTTTATTAATCATTAGTAAATATCTACTAATGCTTTATAGATCAGCAATAATCCATTAAAAGAGAGCCTTCAGGTTGCCAGGTTTTAGAAAACCTTCCCATGGATGTATAAAGAGACTTGGATACAGTGTTGGAGGCGGGCTCCTGTTTATTCCTATGAAGGTTAGCGGCACATGAAGCCAAAATGGTTCAACTGCTGAGTGTAAAATTCTGCGTCACTGGGCCCATATACAGAGCAAGCACACTCGAGACTTTTGCCAGTCAAGCCTAGCCTGAGTGTCAGACTGAAGCTCCCAGAACCGTCAGTCTGACATCGCCTCCATTGAAGGTGATTTACAAGGGGAAGGGAATTTGATTTTTCCCTAACCAATCAGTAGAGATCAACGACTCACCCAGAATCTGACATCATTAGTATCCATGCCTTGGGGGTGCCGAAAACAAGCGAGCATTGCCCGTTTAAAATGTCTCTGTCGTCGTGCACGCCCAGCTGCATCGCCGTTAAATTCAGTTTAGCAGCTTCCTTAATTTGGTCCTCCATTAACGTGAGTAGTGGCGAAATACCTCAATAGCATCATTAATGTGGTCTATAGGATCTACAGGGGTAGCCATTAGCGTGGCGCTGATTGGCTAATGGCTAGACCCGCCCCCACCCCCAGCATTCATTGGTCCGTCCATAGTTAGGACGAGATAAATCGCAAATTCATTGCAGTATGCCAGACCAGAGATGCAAGCCTACTCAGTTGAGTGGGCGGGGTCTATGGTCTGGAACCAGGCTAAGTCAAGCCAGCTGATAAGCTAACTTGAATTGGAATAAAATGATTTAATCTTGTGGCTCCCCTCGACTTTCCAAATATTATCAGACCGAATGGATCAAACCCTGATAGTGAAACAAGGTATTGCGTGCGAGTTGTGATGCTCAAAAAAATGTATGCGCTGATTTACAGACAAAACAATACTGATTTGATCAGTTACCCTGCAGCTTTAGCTTAGCACAATGCCAGCATGGGGGAAAAGTTAGTTTTTATTAAAAGCAGTTTTACTATCTATTACACACTGCACATAATTCATTAACTCATTCATTCATTTTCCATAACCCCTTATCCTGTTGGGGGTCACAGGGGGGCTGGAGCCTATCCCAGCTGACAATGGGCAAGAAGGGGCAGGGTTCACCCTGGACATGTCGCCAGACTATCACAGGGCTGACAAATAGAGGCAGACAACCATTCACACTCACATTCACACCTACAGCAATTTAGAGTCACCAATTAACCTGCATGTCTTTGGACTGTGGGAGGAAGCTGGAGTACCAGGAGAAAACCCACACTGACACAGGGAGAGCATGCAAACTCTGCAGAGAGGGGCTGCAGAGAGGCGAATTCCAGATCCTGTCTCACTAGCCCTGGTTCCGGTTCCTTACCAAAACGGCCACTAACGGCCCCAGACTAGCAACACCCCGGGTTCAAACCAGGACCCCTCTTGCTGTGAGGCGACAGTGCTAACAACTGCACCACCATGCTGCGTAACAAAAATAATTTTATCAATTAGCTTACAGCTTTAGCTTAGCACAAAGCCAGCATGGAGAAAAAAACAGTTTTAATTTACATTCATTACACATTGCACATAATTTATTAACTAATTTTTATAATTCTTATTATGTATTCTTATTTTTATGTATTTAAATATTCCCTTAGCTTTTTGTCGAGATGTTGTATGTTTATGCTTTTGTTCTTCTAGTGTTCAATTAAACAAAAAAGAGAGATCACTGCTGCGTTCGTGCCTCTGAAAGGGAGTTGTAATTTCCGACAGCAAGTGAATGCCACACAGAGGTAGAGCGGGACTGCGCGAGCGCCCTCCCCCCCCCCCCCCCCCCTACTCCTCCCTCCCTCTCGCGCCTCGCCGCGCGTGTGCCCGCCGGTGAGGGCGCGCGCACGGGAGGTGGCGGGGGGTTGTGCTCGCTCCTGCTCTCTCTGCTCTCTGACCCCAGTGGCAGCTCCGACTCACTGCACTCCGGCTCCCCCTCCGTCGGACCGAGGCTGCTCTCTCTCTCCTGTTGTCTGTCAGTGTCTCTCTCCTGCTCTTCGGCTCTCTCCCCCTCCGCTCTCTTGTCTGGTTTCTTTCCACAGGAGCCAGCCGAGGTCCCGCCGGGTCGAAGGTTCTGCCCTATCCGCCCAGACTGCCGCAACCCCCGGACGGCCGCGTACGAACCTACCCGCTCTCCTGCTGCTGCCGCATGGACCCGCGTCCCTCCGCCGCCGCTGCTGCTGCTGCTGCTGCCGCCGCCGCCGCGTAGAGGGCGACCCCGACCCGACACTCTTTCTCCGGCCAGATAAAAACGCACAAAAAGCCCCACACGACGAAGGTAGAGCAACCTTTCCGCTTTGCTTTGAGCACCGAGCAGGGAGGGAGGGGGAGAGAAGGGGGAGACGGGGAGGGAGAAAAAGAAATTCCTGACACAAAGCCGTCGGTTAAAAGGTGGCTTGTCATTTACGAGGACGAGCAAGAGGTTAGCGCGGCGGTGCCGTGACACTGACCACCTTTGGGTGTTTTTTATTATTCCAGGAGCAGAGTTCAGGATTGCACGGACCTCCTTTTCTTTTTGTGTACATTTCTGCAAGCGGTGAACAGCGAGAGGCGCATAGCACACATCGTGTACATGCATGGTATCAGAGAGGGTCAATTTATTCGCCTTTTACCCTCTCTGCTCACCGGAGTGGTTTCCACTCGTGAAGTTAGCTATACGGTGTGTGTCGGGGGGGCTCTCTGCTCTGTGTATTTCAAAGGCAGGGGCTGACAATGTGTGTGTGCGCGTGTGTGTGTGCACCGCCGTTATAGAAAAGCAGCTCAGTGTGAAGCTACAGCCTGCATAATAAAAAATCCACTGCCAGGGCAGGTTTAGCAGGCTAAGCTACAGAGCTAGTTGCTGCTACTGTAGAGACAGACAGGCGAGCAAGGCGAGTTACACACACACATAGACACACACACACACTGAATGCACACGGCGAGGAGACCGTGAAGCATGCTGCACACAAATCGGCCTGCATTTGCAAAAAAAAAAGCACATTTTCCGAGAAGCAGCAGCAGCACTAGTTCAGGTTTTGGAGTTTGCCTTGGGAGATATGACTGCTGAGGTGACGCGTGTGCAAGGCGTCTGACAGGGCAGCTTTTAATTTGGGTGAAATTATTATTTTTGAAGGCCCTGGAAGATCTGCAAACTTATTATTGGATGCACAGGAGTTATATTTTCATTATTATAACTCAAAGGCTTGCGTTAGGTTTTTGTTTCTTGCAGGACCTGAGGTTACCAACCTTTATTTTCTAGGCTGCTGGCATACATTTGTCTGACTTAAAAACACATATCACAGAAAGTAGAATCCAGCTGACCCAGAAAATATAAATCAATGCTTTTGTTAAAATAGGACAGTTTTTTTCTACTTTGAATAGGGAGGCTGTTTGCTTTGAGATATTCAACAACTGGAGGTCACAGCTTCTTTTTTTTCTGTTACTCACCACTGCATCACAGGATTTAACCAACAAATGAACTCCGGAGCTGCTGATTACCCTCCAAAAAAGATGTTAAATTGAGGGCATTTTTTCTTCTTCTTCTTGTGCTGGTGGCTGCATCAGGAGGTCTGGTATAAAAAGCCTGTCAAGCCCACAGTGACCACTTTGCTATCAGTCAGGGAGGTCAGGCAGGAGGGAGAACTCAGGGCTGCAAGGAGACACACAGCGGAGCCCGGTGAGTGAGCTCTGGAGATGCAGAAAACTCACCTTTTTTTTGCAGCATTTTACCTCCAGATTTTAATGTGTTTTTGCCTAATTTAGCCTTTATTGTGTGGTTATGCCAGAGCAGCTCAGATGGCAGATTAATTGCTACTGGTTAATTTCAGAATTAGAGCACCAGGCCTGGAATAACAAAAGCAGAACTTTATTTTTGTGTGTTTATGTGTAATTGTCAGACCTGTTCTGTGCATGCATTTTGAAGAATTACTGAAGGCGTTGCAGCGTATTTGATCACCAGCAGAGCATTATAACTTGCTGCTTTTTTTTTTTCTTGGTTAAATTTCAAGGGGCTAATGCCTCAGAGGCCATGCCTGCAGTATTTTTTTTTACATTTCAATATATTAGTTTGCATTAAAACCAGCTGAGCAGCAGAGCAGCAATTAAAAAACGTGCCTTGCGGATTGTAAATTGTCGCCTTAAGAGTCCAGTGTTTAGTTTTTGAAAGAATTTCTGTTCATTTAACGAGAATGCCATGTTGTTTTTAAAAGGTAGAATAAATCTGCTAATTACATTAAAGTTGCCTCGCTGCGTTTTTCTAATTAGGATTTCATTTTAATGGAGAGTAGTTCAGGAATTTGTTTCTTTCTTTCAAAATTAAATTGTGACAGTAAAAAAAGAATGCTGTTTTTATTTGTGGTGTCTGAAACCAAGCAAGAACACTATAATTGCAGCATAAAGTATTGATCACATTGTGATTTGACATGATTAGAAACAGATCAGCTCCTTCCATGACGTGTGCTCAGTCATTTAATCTCTTCAAGCTTTCTGTTTTTGTTGTGTATTTTAATTTTAGAACAGGAAAAACATCTAAATGTTTTCACAGAGGTTTTAAGACCCTCCAACCAGTGTGCTCAGAAGAGGGTGCATGCCGTGTGGTCCTGTTTCAAGCAGCTGACGTGTGTGTGTCTCTTTGCTCCCTGTCGCTGCAGACTGCAGTGTGTCGTGGTCGTGTTGGTCGGCCGGGTCGCTGCTGCTGCTGCTCCTGCTGCCACTGCTGCTGCTGGGAGACTTCCTGGGCTTCTTGAGCGGCTCTGAAGGATGACCGCTGCACGGCTCGCTGCTGAATCCCGGTGAACGAACGGCGTCTCATGTCCAAACGGCGGAAGGATGGCTCATGGCAAAGTGACCATCACGGTGGACGAGTACAGCTCCAACCCCACACAGGCCTTCACACACTACAACATCAACCAGAGCCGCTTCCAACCTCCTCATGTCCACATGTAAGTGTCACACACACTCTCACACACATATAGAAGTGAATCACCTGCCACGTAACCTAAAATCAGAATTAAAAACTATCATTACCTGCCAAAATAAATTCAGACCTGCAACTTTTAAACACACACTCATCCAGGGTTTTTTTTTGTCTTGATTTGTTTTATTTCATTTTATGTTTTGAGGCTGGTTTTGTATGAAGTGTTCAGAAGATGCAATAATCCAGACTGTGGAGAAGACACTTAGGCATTTTGAGTTGCAACAGGAAGCCAATCAGGAGCCTGTTTGATGCAGAGTCTTTGTTTATACTTTGATTTAATTGGCTCAAGCTCAGAGAATGTACGGTGGCCATCGAGGACAAACTCTGACAGCAGGCAGACACCAAAAACTGCACTGTGTAACATTTAAGGAAATTAAATACCACTGGTTAAAATAAAGTTTGCAGCGAGTGTGGCAGGTGAACCACAGAAGTCACATTTTAAAAACATGCAGCGTTTACACAACGGAACCCAAATGCTCTCCATGCTTCACGCAGATTTAGAAAACCTTTTCTGACTCAGATGTTTTTACTCCCTGTCGTGTGTCGCGGACGGCTCACCACTGTTCCCTATGAGACTGTTATCGTTTTTGCCATGTTGTCATTGCAGTGCATGAGCGCTTTGTCCACATTAGGGCGCTCTTTTTATTTATTTATCAGACCAGTTACTTAGAGTGGCTCTTGTCTGATGTGGTTACGCTCTGCCTCTCATTAGTGGGTCAGAGTGCTGTGACCCGTCAGCCCCTCGCCATGCACACACTCATCAGAGCACTGTGTGTGTTTTATCTGTGGACAGATATTAACACACAGCTGCATGTGTTTGCATGCTTTGTGCCTTCTCCCAGTTACAGCAGTGTTGAGGTTTTATGAAAGATTTGCGAGTGATTGTTGGTCACATGCACAGTGTGCTTGTTGAGATATTATGTATTCACTGAGAGTGTTGTGTAAAGAGTTAAGCTGTAGCAGGGACAGGAAGTGACTGAAGGAGAGCGCCACAGTGCTGTCTGTCTGCTGTTTTCAGAGTGGATTTGTGGATTTTATTTTGCTCTCTGAGTGAACTTTATTCTTTGTCGGGTAATTTTGGTTTGATTTGGCTGTTTTAGATGCACGATTAGAGCTCAGCAAAAAGCTGACACACGTTCCTTCTGCCTTTGTTAATTTCTAGTTGCCATTTTCTATATTAAAAGTCAGTGTTGTCACGATAATGGAATTTCTGAATCCAGTACAATACCTTGAAAAATATTGATAATTGATACAATACTACAGGGAAAAACTGTCAGTGAGGGCATGCAAGTTACATTTTTTATTAAAAGATAAATATGACAAGAGACTATAACAAGACAAAGACGACTTTTCTTTTGATTGTTAGTAGCAGAGAAAAGCAGAATGTCTGTCGTTAAACATTAACAATAAGAGAGCTCAGCAATAAGACAGCTGGTACCGATGTATTGATACTGCGGAAAATGAGTACTGAAACAGTTTGAAATATTCAAAATTGCTCTGTATTGATAAATCGGTATTTTTGACAGCACAATTTCAGGTGCAACAAATAAGAAAAAAATAAATATTTGGCCAAAAAAGTTAAATATGATGCACCCTGGTGGTGATTTAAAACTTGTTGCTAATTTAAGTTTTAGAAAGTCACACATCTATCAGGCATAAATGTCAGAAAATAGATCTTGTGCGAACATCATGCGCTAATTACAGAAGTGCAGTTGTTATAGACAGATTTGACAGTTTTGTAAATACAGCAAATCTTGAAATATAATTAAATTGTTGAAGGTAAAAACACAAAACTTAAAGCATGATTTCATTACTGTCCGTAGAGGTGAAAAGCCACAGATTGTCAAGTCAAGACTGATATGATTGACTGTTAAAACTCCTCTGTGTTCGGAGACCTTGAAACACTGTACGAGAAAACAGCTGCAGTTTGTAAAAATATATTTTTGCCTCTAAATCTAAAAGGAGTTACAAAATTGAGCTGATGCATCTCTTGTTGCATAATTATGGCAATCTGGGATCAGACTGAAATTAAAGTAGGCAGACTCATACTTGGAGTAAAACACAGCACAACACCGTAAAGTCCTTTCACTTGGTCAGTCCCTCGTCCTGAACGGGGATCAGGTTCCACAAGTGCTCAGATCATCCTGTTACATTGAGGTGTAAGGGAAGTGGCATCATGTTGAGCCAATGTGGCCGGCGGGGTTGACACACAGAACAGGGGTTTATGTTACATGACGTGCGGGACGTGTTGCTCATGCAGATATATAAACATCATAAAGGAGACGTTTTTAGACAAATGTCAGATAAATTAAAGGGAGAGGAAGATTCAGGCAGCAGTGTGAGATCTGTGCAGACTGAAGAGCTGGAAACTGAACCAGCCGTGCTCTCTCACTTTGGGGAGCAACAACATCTGGCAAACAAGTTTTTTTTTTTTTTTTTTTTTGTTTACCTCAAACACTCAGATTCCCACAGTTCTGTCTGGATAATCATGTTCATGTAAACAGGATTATTTTGGGGAGATGGTCAAATTATGGAGTCGTGTAAACAGCTGAACGGGGACTCTTACCTTCCTCCCGGTGTTGGCAGTGCTGGCGTTATTGTGCCACTGTGTTGTTTTGGGATTCCTCAGCTGTGAGCAAGGCTGCCAGCACAGCGAGCTTTGGTGCCTCGAATGTGGAAACCGAGACGAGGTCACCTCGCAGTTTGTGTTATGTCAGTCCATTTTAACGGTTGACAAAGACGGCAATAAATCAGGCCAAATGCTTCAATATGAATCAAAGTTAACACATGCCAGACAGCACAGGATTCACCAGAAAGGATTCCAGTTTGATGCTTGAAGAGGCTCCCTCAATTTCTTCTTTTTATTGACAAGGCAAATAATAAATAGTATAAACAATTTTTCCTCCAGCTGTAAAACATGACAGAACAGCCTCTGCAAGCTTCCATTTTTTTCTGAAATTTCACAGCTTATTTTTGGATTTATTACTATTTTATGCCTCTGTGATTGACAGGTTTTGTTATCAGTTCCCTGGAAAGTCTTGGTGTGGTTCGTACCAGCCTTTTATTCTGCAGTGATGCAGCAGTTGACCCTTACTGAAGTTCATTCGGAGAGGCGGCAGAGAAACCTAACATGAAACTTCTTTGTAGGAAAATAGAAAAACAAGCAAAGTGGGAAAAGAGTTGACCTGCCTGGTGTTGAGGAGGAAAATCCTGAGTTTCTAAAAGTGTACGGTCATGTGGAGCTTATTAAGGGCTGCACGATTAATCGAAGTACTATTGAAATGGCAATGTGGCCAATTGCGATATTCAAATCCAGGAGCTGCAATTTTTTGATAAAGGTAAAATATGTCACAACATTATAAATGAAGCATTACGTTGCTACAAAGATGCCTCGGCCTACAAATCATGTTTCAGATGTAAAGGAACATACTTGTTTCATACAGACCCTAGCAAAAATCACATCATCATTTTTATATTTTGTTTTCAGTTAAAATGAAATGCAAAAATGACCATTCCCACTAAAATTGCGGCTCATATTGCAATCATAATGCCTATCTACTTAGTTTTATTCCAGCTGATGACAAACAAGAGCAGATTATGGATGATATTGTACAAAATTATTATTTATATTTTGTTTAAATGATATTAAGAGTCAGACAGCACGAGTGAAAACAAGTTCTTCCAGCTTCTGCTGCTCGGGGCGATGATAAATGAAACAGTGACAGCATGTTTAAGGTGCAGGCATGCAGTCAAAATTCCTGAAACTCGGAACAAATAATCACAACGTTCATCTAAATAATCAGTTTAATCGTTTTTTTTGCCGATATTGCGCCGTCCTGCTTTTTCCCTCCATTTTCGCTGTGATAGTTTCTGGAGGTGAAGCCGCTGTAGGAAGGGGATGTGTTGAAGCCGTGGGGCCTCTCAGCAGATATGTGTTTGGATAAATACATTAGGCTGTTTCCTGGCTTCCACAGAGCCTGCAGTGTTTTACTCTGCCATTCTTAAACTCAGACTGGGAACCCTGGGATCACACACACACACATGCATACACACACACACACACACACACACTTCTATAAGCCCATCCCCCCGCTATGTTTAAGTGCTTATAGAATACACGCTCTGTTCTGGGAAAGTAAAGGCTTGTTTAGATTTGAGAGATAATGATCCGACTTTCTTGGGGGTTCTCGCTAACTGCATCCACAGTATTTGGACATAAATAAAGTTGTTGCTTCTCTGACAGCAAAGACAGAGAGAGTAGAAAAAAGCTCAAGCGAGGGGGTTGCCCGCCATTTGAAATACAATCCCTGCTCTAATGTTTTTGCCCCCCTAGACAGAATATTTAGATTTCTGTGATGGAGCACAGCAGTGCCTTTTGTGTGGTGTGGAAGGTATCGCTCTCTTAGCCGCATATGAAAACATGCGCACACACACACACATGCACAAACACACACAGACAAACACACAGTGGCAGTTACAGACTAATGCTCAGGAACGTGACCTCTAAGTCAAAGTGGGCTTTCTTCGGCGCATGGGACGTCTCTGTCTGTCTGTAAGTGAGCGACAGACTCAGTCCAGCCCTGTTTGTGTCTGGTTTATTTTTCTGCGCCGTCTGTGTTTTCTTTTTGTTTTTTTTTTTGTTTTTTTTTTTTCTCCTCCTTTTCTCAGCCCCCTCATCGTCGTCTCGTGAAATGAAATGCTCAGCAACTTGGAACATATGCTTCGAGTTGGGACACTAATGGCTTCAAATCCAATTTGAGCAGGATCTGGGCCAGACTGCGGGAAGGCCCGACACACAGACGCAGACAGACAAACTGACAGAGAGTTGAAACTAAAAGAACTCTACACTGCAGATCTGGGAGTGTTTCAAGACTTTTCTGTGACCCTTATAATAGTCTTAAATAGTCTTGCTGTTAACATTTAATATCCTGGGGCTGTATCAAATGAGTTATTATGTTTTCTAAG